GCTCCGCTCGCGCTCTGCCTCCTCCAGAGGAGGGAGCTGAATATCAGCGCCACCAGCACGACTGACGGACCCTTTGGGTCCAGGGCCCCTCTGCAGTGAGGCAGTTGTCAGCCACCATCGCTAATGAAACGCCCTGGGCTCTGGGCAGGAACCGGCGTTTCTGTTACCAGGTTTTTGTTACCAGGGCTGGAGGACGGCGCAGAGGTCGGTAGGTAGAGGTGTGGGGAGATGAGAGAACTGGAGATGAGAGAGGGAGCGAGGAAGAGAGAGATCGTTTTCTTCTCAGCTCCTGCCCCCCAAAAATTTATCAGAAGAGGGTTGTCCAAATGCAGGGAGATTGAGCCTCTGTGCATCCACAGCTGTGTTCCTTCCCCTGGGCCTACTCTGTGCCTCTTCCCTAGTTACCTGCAATTGTAATCATGTGGGACAGCTCCCTAAAGGCAAACTTGGTCCCTCCAAAGATGACAAAGGGGAGAAACTCGGCTGTGGGGAGAGAACCCAGGCCCTCTTGGCCCCTGGCTGCTGTGGGACATGCACGTTACCCTGGGGAATCACTCACAACTTGCCTTTGTCCCCTCCACTTTCAGGGGACATTCTCCTTCCCCTTAGCCACAGGCCCAAGCCTGGATCAAAGTTGGGAAGAAGCTGGAACATTTGGGTTGGCCTTCAGGAATACTTCGGTCTTAAGTTAGGGCAGTAGACAAAGAGGGAAAACGGTTAGATAGTCTGACTCACAAAATATGGCTAACTTCATTCCAGTTTGTGATGGCTCATTTTTCAGCACCCACAGAAGCTACCAGTGGAGATTGATCAATAGATGGACACATCCCTGCCACTGTGGAGCTTCCAGCCCAGCAGGGCGTAGTGACAGATATCAGTACAGTTTATTGTGGTAAGTGCTTCCTACTCCAAGTAATTTACCTGTGTTAACTCTTTCAGTCCTCATAACAACCCCATGAGACAGATGGTGTTATTATTTCCATTTTATACAGAAGAACACTGAAGCACAGAGAGGTGAGGAAGTTTGTCCAGTTTCAAAGCTAGTAGGCGGTACAGTGGGAATTTGAACCCAGAGAAGACTGACTCCATGGCTGGGCTCTTAACCACTCAAGAAAGCAGCTGCAAAGGCCATCAGGGGCCAGATCAAGGTCTGTGTAAATCATTTTAAACAGTCTGGACTGTAGTCTAAGGAGAATGGGAAGTCATTACAGAGTGGTAAGCAAGAAAATGACATTACTAGACTTGCTTTTTGATGTCAAGGGTGGGGAGGGATGCTCAACTATGACACAAGACCTGTTAAAAAGCTACTGCTATCGTTCTACCTAAAGATGGCAGCAGCCTTAGTGGTGTGTGTCAGTGTGTGCAGGGATGGGGTGGAGGGGAGATGGAGAGAGATGGATGGAGCCAAACTGTAGAATCTATAAGACTTAGCTAATCTTCAAGGATGGTGCCCAGGTATGTGGCTTGAGCAGCCTGGCATTTGGGCACATGGTGCTGCCATCCCTGAGAATGGGAATATCGAAAGAGTAGCTGAGTTGGGGAAACAATGAGAGTGAGTTCATTTGGACATGTTGCCTCCCTACCTAGCTTCTGGTCCGTCTTCATGAGGCAAAGGCTACTTTTTCTCTCTAGCCCAGGATGTCCTCAAATTCTTCTGTATTCTTTTGTCACAAGAATGCCTTGTATATTTTAAATTATTTATTGCAAAGTGGCTCCCTGCAGACTTNAGGCAAAGGCTACTTTTTCTCTCTAGCCCAGGATGTCCTCAAATTCTTCTATATTCTTTTGTCACAAGAATGCCATGTATATTTTAAATTATTTATTGCAAAGTGGCTCCCTGCAGACTCTACCCACTCACTGATTGTCACTCATTAATTTTTCCCCTTTCTTCACCGCCCTTCTGAGGTCAATAGAACTGCCTTGGGCTGATGATGCCACCTAATGGTTAGATCTTGTGGAACTCCTCTTTATTGCTTTACAAATGATCTTTTTCAAGAAACTTTCTTTTTCAATTTCTTTCTTTCTTCTTTTCTCATGTCTTTTCAATATTTACAAATAAAATGTGTACTTGAGCCTTAGCATTACAGCTAACATGGGTGATTAAGAATGTCTTCAGACCTAGCTGGTTTGGCTCAGTGGTTAGAGCGTCGGCCCACAGACTGAAGGGTCCCGGGTTCGATTCCAGCTAAGGGCATGTACCTCGGTTGCAGGTCCGATCCCAGCCTCAGTCAGGGAGTGTGCACATGCGGGAGGCAACCAATCAATATGTCTCTCTCACATTGATGTTTGTCTCTCTCTCTCTCTCTCTCTCCCTCTCCCCCTTCCACTCTCTCTGAAAAAACAATGGAAAAAATATATATACTTGGGTGAGGATTTAAAAAAAAAAGGGAAAAAAAAGTATGATTTCAACCAGGTGCAGTGCTGGTCATGGGGAGTAGGGTGTTGGAGGGAGAGAGTCTAGACAACTGGTGGAGACTTTCCTCTGTCAAAGGGATGGCAGTAGCAGATTCAGTCTAAATGGGGAGGGGGTGTCAAATTCAAAACAGCTAGGCAATGTGAGTGTCCAAGAGCTTGTATGATCTCAGAGATCAGTATGAAACAGAAAACAAAAATCCAGCACGACAGTGATTCTTGAGGTCAGGGGCAGACTGATTAATGGAGTCATCATTCCTCAAAGGAGAGGGACACTGAAGCCAGTACCCACCTTGGCTGATGAAATGGCTGCAAAGAGATAATTAGGCTTATTCCCTCTGATTCATCCCCCAACACCCCTCCCCCAGTTCCCTCTGGAGGTGAGGTTGGCCTTTCAGGTGCAGACACTAGCCTCTTAGGATTGATGGAAATTGTGCAGGCTGGACTGCCAGCGCTCCTGACGAGTTT